AAAAAACAAACGAAAAAACCACAACAAAAAAAAAAAAAAAAAAAAAAAAAAGAAAAAGACTCAGTGTATCTTAATCTATGGGATCAAAAAGACTGAAGAGCCAAAACAACCCTTAGCAAAGAGAATAAATCTGGCGTTACTGTACTACCAGATTAAAACACACTATAAAGCTATAGTAAGCAAAACTGCTTGGTACTGACATAAAAACAGACACATAGACCAATGGAACAGAATAGGAAACCCAGAAATAAATCCACACACATACAGCCAAATGATTTTTTTTTTAAAGGCACTAAGAATATTGCCTGGGAAAGGATTGTCTCTTCAATAAAAGGTGCTGGGAAAACTGGCTATCCATCTGCTGAAAAATGAAACTAGGCCTCTGTCTCTCACTATATGTACAAATCAACTCAAAATGGATCAAAGACTTAACCCAAAACAATGAAACTATTAGAAGAAAACATAGGGGAAACTTTTTTCTTTTTGGAGAGGTTTTTGCTAATAGGGCATGTGCGCTCACCAGAAAGACAGAGAGAGACAGAGAGACAGAAAGCAAGAAGTGAGAAGTCAGCAAGAAATCACCGCCCCCAGGGGGATGGCCATGCTGCAATCCCTTTTCCTCCATTCTCCTCCATTCTCCTCTCAGGATCTTGGGCACACACGCACAAGTGCCCAGCATGAGTTTAAGCCACTGGGTCCAGGACTCAAACTGTGGTTGACTACATGGGAGTCCAGCAACATAGCCATTATGCCAATTGCTGGTCCTGTATAGGGGAAACATTTTAAGACATTGGTTTGGGGACAGATTTTTCTGGTTAAGACCTCAAAAGCATTGGCAGCAAAAGCAAAACTTTACAAATGGGATTATATAGAATTAAAAAATTTCCGTACAGCAAAGGAAAAATCAACAAAGTGAAGAGATAACCTACAGAGGATAAGGTATCTTCAAATTATTCATCCAACAAGTATATACAGTATATACAAAGAATTCAAGTAACTCAACTCAAACAGAAAAAATTAATCTGATATAAAAATAGGCAAACGATCTGAATAGCCTTTTCTGAAAAGACAACATACAAATGGTCGAGTATGAGAAAATGCTTAACGTTACTAAACATCAGGAAAATGCAAGTGAAAACCACAATGAGCTACATCATCGCACCCTGGTTAGAACGACTATTATCAAAAAGACAACAGCAAATGTTATTGAGGATTCAGAGAAAGGAAAAGGGAGTCTTATACGGTTTTAGTGGGAATGTAAATTAGTGCAGTTATTACAGAAATCAGTGTGAAAGTTCTCAAAAAACTAAAAATATCACCCAGTAATCCCATGGCTGGGTGATATAATCTAAAGGAAATCAGGTCAGTATGTCAAAGAGATTCCTGTATTTCCATATTTATTGCAGCCCTATTCATAATATCTGAGATATGGAATCAACCTAAGTATCCATCAAAGGATGAATGGGTAAAGAAAATGTGGTATACATGCTCAATGCAATATCATTCAGCCATTTAAAATGAATGAAATCTTGTCATTTGAGGCAACATGGATGAGTCTGGAGGACATCAGGCTAAGTCAAAGAAGCCAGGCAGAGAATAACAAACACCACATATTCTCATTTATGTTGTGAAAGCTAAAACATTTTACCTCATAAAAGTACAGAACAGTGATTACTAGCAGCTGGGGAGGCTAGTGGGGAAGAAGCGCTGGGAGATGTTGGTTAATGTGTACGAGATTACAGTTAGATAAGGGCAGTAAGTTTTGGTGTTCTACAGCACTAATCAACTCAAAATGGATCAAAGACTTAACCCAAAACAATGAAACTATTAGAAGAAAACATAGGGGAAACTTTTTTCTTTTTGGAGAGGTTTTTGCTAATAGGGCATGTGCGCTCACCAGAAAGACAGAGAGAGACAGAGAGACAGAAAGCAAGAAATCACCGCCCCCAGGGGGATGGCCATGCTGCAATCCCTTTTCCTCCATTCTCCTCCATTCTCCTCTCAGGATCTTGGGCACACACGCACAAGTGCCCAGCATGAGTTTAAGCCACTGGGTCCAGGACTCAAACTGTGGTTGACTACATGGGAGTCCAGCAACATAGCCATTATGCCAATTGCTGGTCCTGTATAGGGGAAACATTTTAAGACATTGGTTTGGGGACAGATTTTTCTGGTTAAGACCTCAAAAGCATTGGCAGCAAAAGCAAAACTTTACAAATGGGATTATATAGAATTAAAAAATTTCCGTACAGCAAAGGAAAAATCAACAAAGTGAAGAGATAACCTACAGAATGGGAGAAAGTATCTTCAAATTATTCATCCAACAAGTATATACAGTATATACAAAGAATTCAAGTAACTCAACTCAAACAGAAAAAATTAATCTGATATAAAAATAGGCAAACGATCTGAATAGCCTTTTCTGAAAAGACAACATACAAATGGTCGAGTATGAGAAAATGCTTAACGTTACTAAACATCAGGAAAATGCAAGTGAAAACCACAATGAGCTACATCATCGCACCCTGGTTAGAACGACTATTATCAAAAAGACAACAGCAAATGTTATTGAGGATTCAGAGAAAGGAAAAGGGAGTCTTATACGGTTTTAGTGGGAATGTAAATTAGTGCAGTTATTACAGAAATCAGTGTGAAAGTTCTCAAAAAACTAAAAATATCACCCAGTAATCCCATGGCTGGGTGATATAATCTAAAGGAAATCAGGTCAGTATGTCAAAGAGATTCCTGTATTTCCATATTTATTGCAGCCCTATTCATAATATCTGAGATATGGAATCAACCTAAGTATCCATCAAAGGATGAATGGGTAAAGAAAATGTGGTATACATGCTCAATGCAATATCATTCAGCCATTTAAAATGAATGAAATCTTGTCATTTGAGGCAACATGGATGAGTCTGGAGGACATCAGGCTAAGTCAAAGAAGCCAGGCAGAGAATAACAAACACCACATATTCTCATTTATGTTGTGAAAGCTAAAACATTTTACCTCATAAAAGTACAGAACAGTGATTACTAGCAGCTGGGGAGGCTAGTGGGGAAGAAGCGCTGGGAGATGTTGGTTAATGTGTACGAGATTACAGTTAGATAAGGGCAGTAAGTTTTGGTGTTCTACAGCACTATAGCACAACTCCAGTTACAGCAATGTATTGTCCATTTTAAGATGGCTAAAAGAGAAGATAAATGCTCCCAACATTAAGTAATGATAAATATTTGAGGTGATGTCTATGCCAACTACCCTGATTTAATCACTACTTACTATATTCATGTATTGAAAAACCACACTGTATCCCATAAATATGTACGATTATTTTGTCAACTAAAAATGCTTATTTGGGGAACCACAGTTTGAGTCCTGGACCTGGAGGCTTGAAACTCATGCCACACAGATGTGGGAACATGCCCAAAATCCCAAGGGGAGAACAGAGAAGGAACTGCAGTGTGGTCATTCCCCCTGGGGGATGATTCTTCACTTTCTGTCTGTCTCTTTGGTGAGTACATGCCCTATGGCAAAAACCTCTCTTAAAAAAGAAAAAAGTTTATTGGAAAAAAGCTTTTCAAAGTACTGAGGACAAGACAATAAAAACTTCACATTCTCAGCACACTTTTACCAGTTATCAGCTATTAATAATTTATCCGATCTTCTTCGTGAGCTTAATTTTCTCAACTGGAAAATGTTAAGACAATACATGACATGGCCATCTCATATGGCTGCCATAATAATTACATAAGTTAAAGCCAATGATCTCATTTTATAAACCATACACTCATCTATAAAAGCCAGCACTCTTCCTTCAGCCAATGGCCACCACTGAGGGCCCGAGGTAAGAATCAGCGTGAGAGAATCAATGAGTGGGGGAAGAGAAAGGCTACTGTCCTTACTGGATAGCTTATGCCCCGGGCAGTTTGGAAATCAAATTGAGTAATGTAACCTGAATGTTACCAGAGGTTGGGTGTACAATGACAAAATATTTCATTTATTTTGTTCTAAAACAAAATTGTTTTCAACTTACTCCGTTTCTACTCGGTAATGACTTGTAGCAGCTCCCAGTTTGCAGAATCGTAAGCACTGGTGGAAGGTACAACAAAGGGTCGTTGCCACAGTGAGAAATGACAACCACATCATAGCCACGTGCTATGGGAGGCCAGGAGTAGGATTCGGTGTGGCTAGGTCCTCGAAACTTATTTCTTTGAAGAGCCTATAAAACATCAATCACTCAAAAGTGTAATAAAGTTAGAGAAAACTCCATCTTACTGCTCACTTTATTCCAACCACTAGATATTGCCAAATCTACTATTTTCTAAACTCTAATTTGACAAGTCTCCCTAAATCTTTTCTCAGCACCAAACTCTTATTATAAGACTCTTGCTTTTCTGGGACCCAAATTTAAAAGGACCCAATAAATAGTCCCCTGGTCAGGTGCTTAAAGGTCAATGGTATATGGATGTGACCTTGGGGGACAGCAGTTGATGTAGTTATGGCACTGGACTCCCACGTGGCTGACTGTGGTATGAGTCCCAGCCTAGCAGCTTGAAACTCAAGTTGCTCGCATGTGCATGTATGCCCAAAATACCAAGAGGAGAATGGAAAATAGATTGAAGTATAGTCATCCTCCCAGGAGGTGATATCTCCCTTTTTCTCGTCTCCAGTGAGAGCACACAACTATAGCAAAAGTCTCTCTAAAAATAATAAATAAATAAGGATGTGGCCTTTTCCTCCTTACTCTAGATCTGCCAGTCCATCGACTTCACTTGTAAAGCTTTTTAAAGACATGCTTTTGGGACCAGCAGATGGTGTAATGGTTTCGTCACCAGACTCCCACAGAGTTGACTGCGGTTTGAGTCCTGGACCTGGCTTAAAACTCATGCTGGGCATGTGAGTGTGCATACCCAAAATCCTGAGAGAAGAATGGAGGAGAAGGGACTATGGTGTGGCCATCCTTCCTAGGGGAGGATTTCTCACTTTCTGTCTCTGTCTCTCTCCAGCAAGCACATGTGCCCTATACCAAAATACCACAACAACAACAACAACAAACACATGCTTTTAATTGCTTATTTTTCTATATAACTGTCACTAAATCCCAAATGTTCCAATAGAGTTTTCCAGCATTCTGATAGTATCTTCCAAAAAGCTGAATTCATGAGCACCATCACCTCTGTGTCGTCCTCCTGGATAGAGTCGTGAACCCCAGCTACAATCAAGACTGACTATTCTCAGCACCTGGTATTCAGCTGTTCACTCTGGGATTTTCCTTCAATATCACCCTTTTGTCACCAACCCTATGAGGTCATCAACCCTATGAGGTCTTCTTTCTGGGCTTATTTGTTTTGGTGGAGAACATACTTGAGTAACTTTTTTTTTTTTTTTTTTGGAGAGAGTTTCGCTATAGGGCGCGTGCGCTCGCCAGACAGACAGAGAGGGACATAGAGACAGAAAGCGAGAAATCACCCCCCAGGGGGGATGGTCACGCCGCAATCCCTTCTCCTCCATTCTCCTCTCGGGATCTTGGGTGCGCATGCACACGCGCCCAGCGTGAGTTTTAAGCCACCGGGTCCGGGACGCGAACCGCGGTCGACTACATGGGAATCCAGCGACATAGCCATTACGCTAACTGCTGGTTCCCTTTGAGTAACTTCTTGACAAGAGGTAAAGGGAAAGTACATTTTTTGAGTCTCTGAATGTCTGAAAAATACCTTCGCTCTACCCTCATGCTCACTGGTAGTTCAAGTATGGACATCTAGGTTGGAAAGAATTTCCCATCAGAATTTTGAAGTTAATACTCCTCTGGTGCTGCTGTGGAGAAATCTGAAGCCAGTCTGATTTCCGGCCCTGTATGTGGGACCAGTTTCCTTATTTTAGAGAAAGTTTTCACCATTTCTGAATCCCTCAAGTCTAGATGCTTCCCAATGACATATCAATCTTTGTTCATCACTATGAAGGCCTGCAATAGGGAGGCTCTCTTAGTTTGGAGACTTGCGTCAGTTAGGTCCAGAAAATGTTCTTATGTTACTCCCCTGAGACTTTTCTGCCCTTTCTTCATTCTTACCAGAAATCCCATTTTCAGATATTGAACCTTGTATTCAATTTTTTTACTCTTATTGCCATCTCTTTGCCTTATTCTATTTTCTGGTAAGTAGATCCTATTTTTTTTAAAGATTTATCTATTTATTCATTCATTCATTCCCTCATTTTAATTTGACCAGAGAGAGATAGAGAGAGAGAGAGAGGAAAGTGAGAAAGCAAGCCACCAGGTCCAGGACTTGAACTGTGGTTGGCCATGTGGGAGTGTCCAGTGCCTTAACCACCACACCACCTGCTGGTCCCAGTAGATTCTATTTTACATCTTGAATCTATAATTCACTTTTAATTTTTTTCAGGGGAGGAAGAGGTTTTTGATATACGGCACATGCACTCACCAGAAGGACAGAAAGAAAGACAGAAAGTGAAAAATCACCCCCCAGAGGGGATGGTCACGCCGCAATCCCTTCTCCTCCATTCTCTTCTCAGGATCTTGGGCACGCACGCACACACACCCAGCATGAGTTTAAGCCACCAGGTCCAGGACACAAACTGCAGTTGACTACATGGGAATCCAGCAACATAGCCATTACGCCAATTGCTGGTCCCTGACTTTTAATATTTTTAGTAGTATTTTCAACTTATGAGAATCCTTTCTCTCTGGCTATTCCTTCTATTTTTTTTTTTTCTTTTTACATCAGCCTGTCATGGTTAAATAGATGCAATATGTTCTCTTACCCCTTGAGGATATTTATTTTCTAACATTTTTTCTACTCTTCTTCCCTTTTTTTTTTTTTTTAAGGTGAAACCTTTCTCCAAATGTCTATGATCCCTTTACTTGTTCATGTTGAAGAGAAAGACACTAAAACCTGACATGAAGCTCTGCGAGTAGGGTAAATCTTACCATCCTGTGAGCCTCACATCACTACAGGAAGACAGAGCAGCAAGCAGGCATTTTCTTTGAGTGAATTCTAAATAGCACCATCTAAATGTCATTTTTTTTTTGAGAGAGATTTTTGCTATAGGGCGCGTGCGCTCGCCAGACAGAGAGAGACATAGAGACAGAAAGCGAGAAATCACCCCCCGGGGGGATGGTCACGCCGCAATCCCTTCTCCTCCATTCTCCTCTCGGGATCTTGGGCACGCACGCACACGCGCCCGGCGTGAGTTTTAAGCCACCGGGTCCGGGACGCGAACCGCGGTTGACTATGTGGGAGTCCAGCGACATAGCCATTACGCTAACTGCTGGTTCCCTAAATGTCATTTTTATAGAGCCATTCTCCAAAAGGATCCTCCAATTTCCCTCCCAAGAACATTTTTTTTTTTTGGAGAGGTTTTTGCTATAGGGCGCGTGCGCTCGCCAGACAGACAGAGAGAGACATAGAGATAGAAAGCGAGAAATCACCCCCCAGGGGGGATGGCCACGCTGCAATCTCTTCTCCATTCTCCTCTCAGGATCTTGGGCACGCACGCGCATGCGCCCGGCGTGAGTTTAAGCCACTGGGTCCGGGACTTGAACTGCGGTAGACTACATGGGAGTCCAGCGACATAGCCATTACGCTAACTGCTGGTTCCCCAAGAACAATTTAAACTGGCCATGGGTATTCGGAAAACAGGATAGGGAAGTTCACTATTCCTACACATCTCACTCCTTCTCTAAGTCACCATAGTCTGCTGCTGTTTTCTATCTTCTAAATGCTTATAGAAGTCTCTGGAATAACAGGTGGCATAGTGGTTAAGGTGCTGAATTCCTACATGGCAGACCATGGTTCGAGTCCCAGATTTGGCAGCTTGAAACTCATGACAGGCATGTGCGCATATATGCCCAAATCCTGAGAGGAGAAGGGAGGAGAGGGGATTGCAGCATGGCCATCACACCGATTTCTCACATTTTTTCTCTCTCTGTGTCTCCATCAAGTACACATGTCCTATAGCAAAAAGACTCTCTCTTAAAAATGAAAGCCTCTTGTCTACTAAAGACATTTCTCATCCTATTTATTTTTGTGGTTTTATCTTTATTTTTTAAATATTAAAAAATTTATTTATAAGACAGGAATTAAGTAAACATGTATGATCACTTTACCAAGTGAAACCATGGGCTTATAAAGTGATTTTGAAAAGAATGGCTAAGAAGTATATGCCCCGGGGCCGGCAGGTGGCCTGGTGGTTAAAGGTGCTGGACTCCCACATGGCTCACCACAGTTCAAGCCGTGGACCTGGTGGCTTGCTTTCTCATTTTCCCTCTCTCTCTCTGCCTGATTAAACTCAAAAATGATAATAATAATAATAAAGTTAAATATAATAATTATTTTTTAAAAAAGAAATATATTCCCTGGCAATTCCTTACTCCTTTTAAGCTCCTTTCCTGAAGTGTATTTGAAAACTTAGTTCAGGAGAGGATTTACAGTTGTACAACAGCTTTTCCACAAAAGGAAAATTCACTTGTAAGAATTTAGCTGAGGTTAAGAATAAATGAGAAATCGTTAACAAATGCTTACAAGAAAATTTCAAAAGCAAAGAAATTATATAACACAACTTTAGGACTGTAAAGTCTTCTGTGTTAGAAAAGGTCAGTATCTCTTCGTGAGTTTTTAGAGCATTTTTACCTTTTTCAGGTCTGGTGAAAGTGGTGACATGTTGATGGTTAAGCAGGGCTCGATCTTGTTTCGGAGCACCACGCCAGGCTGCTGTACGCCTGACTTCAGCTTCTGCAACTAAGTGAGTACATACCTTAGACCTCAACACATGCCCTAAGGTAGCAGCGACCGAATACGCAGAACTTTACAGAAATGAGGAAAAGATTTCAGTGTAAAAACCTAGGCAAAACCTGGTAGTGCAGTGGGTAAGGTGGCTGGATCCCACCTGGTCACTGCACTGTGTAAGTCCAAGACCTGGTAACTTGAAAAGCACACTGGGAACACGTGCGTGTGTGCCCCAAATCTCAAAAATGGAGAAGGGACTGTGGTATGACCATGCCCCAAGGAGGGGGTACTTTCTTACTGTCCCTCCCGCTCTCTGTCTCTCCCCAGCAAGTAAGTGTGCCCTCTGGCAAGTTTAAAAAACAGTAACAACAACAACAAAAAAAACCAAGAAAATTCGCCCAAACAAAATGAAACAGAGATCAACTATTACCCAAATAAAAAAAGAGCAATTTCTCAAAAGTAATAATCTACTAGTTGATTTATAAAAGGACATCTTTTTTTTTTGTCATTTTTGGAGAATTTTTTTTTTGCTATAGGGCACGTGCGCTCGCCAGACAGAGAGAGAGAGACAGAGAGACAGAAAGCGAGAAATCACCCCCCGGGGGGATGGCCACACCGCGATCCCTTCTCCTCCATTCTCCTCTCGGGATCTTGGGCACGAGCGCACACGCGCCCAGCATGAGTTTAAGCCACCAGGTCCAAGACTCGAATCACGGTCGACTACATGGGAGTCCAGCGACATAGCCATTACGCTAACTGCTGGTCCCTAAAAGGACATCTTGAGGTAACGTCCCCATTCAAGGACTTTCTCTCCTAAAGTTATCTGAAGGGAGGGCAGAGAAGGATTTAGAGTAAACAGTTTTCTCTCCTCTCCACCCCCAAAAAACTTGTAATACCTGTTGCAGATCAGAGATTCCATCAGCTCTCAAAGGATCAGGATTTAAAAACTGCAGTAACCTGTCAAATAGTGAAAAGAACAATCTGAAGAAAAAGGCATTTATGTTCCCTCAACTGAACGGTCATTCTAATTACTCCTTGACAGAGGTGGGACGGACTTATAATATATCCCAAGACACAGCTATGAAATGACTGCCCTGCTTCTGCTTCATGTATTAAGCTATAAAGGCCATGGTGGCCGTGCCAGTCACATGCTTCCTGGTTCCCACCCAGGGTTCTCGGCCTGTATCTGTGCTGCACAACTTTGCCAGCCTGGTCTTCATGCAGAAAATTTGAAAGGAGGCCCAGCCTAGCTTAAGAACCACTGGTCTACCTCATTATCTTTGTTTTATGAGTGAGAAAACAAGACCAGCTTTTCCACTCTCACATTGGCTGAGAGGAAAAGCTCTTTGAAATTGCTTTCCTCTAGACCCAGCCTCAACCCCAATGTGGGTAAGGAGTGGTAACAGCAGGAGAGAATTCGCAAACCATAGAGAGGCCAGGGACTTCAAGATAAAGATTATCAATTAAACACACACAGCAGGGTCAGCTGGTGGAATAGCGGTTAAAGCAACTAGATCCCACATGGTCAACTATGTGGTTTGTGTCCCAGACCCAGCAGCCTGAAAAACATACCAGGCGCATGTGCATGCATGCCCCAAATCTCAAAAGAATGGTGGTGAGACTATCCTCCACTGGGGGGATGCTTTCTTACTCACTCACTCTCTTTTTTTTAAAATTTTATTTATTATTAGTTTTTAATTTGACCACAGAGAGACAGAGAGAGAGAGGGAAAGTGAGAAAGCAAGGTGCCAGTTCCAGGACTCAAACCATGGTTAGCATTTGGGAGTTCAGTGCCTTAACCACCATGCCACCTTCTAGCTCCTTTCTTTCTTCCTTCCTTTCTTTTCTTTTCTTTCTCTCTCTGTTGAGTGCACACACCTTATACCAAAATATAATAAACAAACACACATCGGCCAGCAGGTGGTATGGCAATTAAAGTGTGTGCTGGATCCTACACAGCCAACAGCATGGTTTGAATCCTAGACCCAGCAGCTTGAATAACATGCCAGATGCATGTATGTACATGCCCAAAGAACCCAGAAGTGGGAAGAAGGGATTGCAGGGCGGTCATTTCCATGGGGGATGATTTCTTACTTTCCCTCTCAGTTTCTCTCCTCCAGCAAGTACATGTGCCCTATGGCAAAAATCTAAAAAATGGGGGCCAGCAGGTGGCACGACGGTGAAGGTGCTGGACTCTCACATGGCCAACTGCAGCTCAAGCCCTGGACCCAGTGACTTAAAAATCATGCCAGGCACGTGTGTGTGCAAGTACAAAATCACACGAGAAGAATGGAGTTCAGAGAAGCAATTGCAACGTGGCCATTCCTCTGGGAGGTGATTTATCATTTTCCCTCTCACTGTCTCTCTCTCTCTGTCTCTCTGAGAAGCACAAGTACCCTATCACTAAATCTTAAAAATAAATAGATAAAAATAACACACACACACACACATCAAATTGCATTCATTCATTCTTTTTTTTTTTTGGAGAGGTTTTTGCTATAGGGTGTGTGCACTTGCCAGAAAGACAGAGACAAAGAGACAGAAAGTGAGAAATCACCCCCCGGGGGATGGTCACGCCCGCAATCCCTCCTCCTCCTTTCTCCTCTAAGGATCTTGGGCACACACACACACGCGTGAGTTTAAGCCACTGGGTCCAGGACTTGAACCGCAGTTGACTACATGGGAGTCCAGCAACATAGCCATTACGCTAACTGCTGGTTCCAAATTACATTCTTTCTTGAACCCCTCTTTGTTTCTTTTTTTCTTAAGAGAGATTTTTGCTACAGGATGTGTGCACTCACCAGAGAGAGAAAGAAAGACAGAGAAACAGAAAGTGAGAAATCGCTCCCTAAAGGGGATGGCTGCACTGCAATCCTTTCTACTCCATTCTCCTGTCAGGATTTTGGGCACGCACACACACATGCCTGGCGTGAACTTTAAGCCACCAGGTCCAGGTCTCAAACCATGGTCTACTACATGGGAATCCAGAGATGTTACCATTGTGCCATCTGCTGGTCCCTTGAAGCTCCATTTATGTAAGTGGATTTTTTTAGTGCAAAAACTACAAAATTCAAATGGCTATCACCTGAGGAATGAAAAAATTAATCGTTTCAACCATGCAACAGGATATTATTGAGTCATAAAAAGAAGTGAAGTACTCACTTGTGCTACAACCAAGATGAATTTTAAAAGCATTAGGCCAAGTGAAAGAAGCCAGTCACAAAGGGCACAATTACTTGGCTCTCTTTAGATATAATATCCAGCACAGGAAAATCCACAGAGACCAAAAGTCAAGTGGTAGTTGCCAAAAGGCGACAAGAGTGAGAAATGGAGAATGGGTGCCGTGGAGGAGGGTTTTCTGGGGGCGTAACAAAAATGTAAGCATGACATAACAGCATGGCAAGACCCTGTCAAGGGCACTTTCTCGTGCTCGATCTTCTTCTACATGAACACATACTACTGTAAAAGAAAAAAATACAAGGAAGGAGTCAGAATGGGAGTCAACTTCTCCACACTAGCAACTAAAAAATAAAGGAGGAATGCCTTCCAAGTCTATAACTAAACTACTGGTTAAGCGTGAAGACAGAGTATGTATGCAAAGTCCCCGAGGATGTATCTTTTGTGTTTCCCTTCTCAGGGAGCTGGACTGGAGATGTTCTCCAACAAAACAAGGAAGTAAACCAAGTAAGGGTCAGAGGGAAGATCCAGATCAATCCAAGAAAGAGGCTGCGAATCTCAGGATGCTGGGGACAATGAACACCAGATGGATCGGGCACAGGCCACGGTAGGTGGGAGGTGCTAGGGAGGTCTCCGAGGAGACACAAGTGAAAATACGGAAAGCAAGTTTAACTAACAGAGGGGGATTCTGGAGATGAATTAGTAAAGATATATAAAAAACTAAGATGTGGCCAGCAAGTGGTGTGGTGGTAGAGGCGCTGGACTCCCACATGGCCAACCGTGGTTCGAGTCCTGAACCTGGCAGCTTGCTTTCTCACTTTCCCTTTCTCTCTCTCTGGTCAAATTAATTAAACACAAAAACAAACAAAACACATACATACAACTAAGGAGATAAAAACAGAATATAATAATTAAGTTTAAGTAAACTTTAATTAACTTTAAAGTGAATAGAATATAATAATTAACTTAGAGTAATTAAGTAAATATAATAATTAACTTTAAGTAAACAAGAGAAGTCTCTATACCCTACTACTGCATGGCTAAACAGCACCTATCTGTTCAAAACCCATGGACCCTGAAGATTTATCTCACCAGAATCATGATGCAGGAATGGGAGGGATGAAAATGTGAAGTGATTTCAAGAAAAGAGGAGTTGTGCAACACAGAGACTCGTCCTCACTACCCACACTGTGCTTTGGCAGAAAACTCCACTTGGGGGAAAGGAGGGTCACCAGCACCAGGATCCCACAGCCCATAGGAAGGACATTCCAGTTTAGACTTTAGGAAGCACGACTGTTACAGTGCTCTGCATTACAAGGAGTACACGTATTTAGAGAAATGTTCCATCTTAAGTAGACTGTGCAAAGTGCTTCTTTGAACACATTTAAAGGAAAACAACTGAAGAATAAGACAAATATATTGTGCAAGGTACGAAGATACAGGAGGAAAGATGAAAAGACAAAGGACTGCAAAGAAAGGTACAGGGTTACGTTAAATATCAGAGATGGGGCTGGGCCCATAGCTCAGTGGTTAAGCACCATGCAGAAGCCAGAAGCCAGATTCCACACAGCTGACCAGTTCAAATCTTAGCCCCAGTAGCTTGAAAAACTTGCCATGCACACGTTGGACACATCCTGACAGGATGAAGAAACAGAGAAAAAAAAAAAAAAAGATTGTGGTGTGACCAGGACCGGAGGCACTGCTTTTCCTCCGCCACCCCCACCACTCCTCTCTCACATGCGTGAGTGCTCTCTGGCATTTTAATAATCAGAGATGGCAAGCGGTGGCAAGCATGCCACTGCTGCATCCTCCTGAACGCAGACCAGACATCTTCACCAATCATAGAAGTACCCTTCCCCAGCACGTCAAGTTGCAGTGTCAAAATCTTCTTTGAAAAATGCTGCAGGGGGCCACTACCAGGCGAACGGGTTGAGACTCACTGACCACTTCCAGCACATCCGAGGGCTGCTCATGAAGTGGGAGACGGGTTAGAAACCACATTCCGGGCCCAGCCCAAGCTGCCTGGTCATCTCCAGAAGCTCTAAGTGGAACAGATACATTTCTCTTGATACCCCAAAATACCAAAGAGTTATCTGCTAGTGACCCTTGAACTCCAGATGCGGACCCTGAGACTACCTGCTACGTAAGGACCAGGATCCCGGAGAAGGTATTCGATCCTGGACCAGGAAACGTGACTAAACATGGGGTGGCCTCCTCCTGGGTTTACCATAAGGCGAGGGGTTCCCAGGGAGTTATGCAAAAGGAGATAAATCGCAGGAGAAAGCTGCAGAACGACCTGCTGGTCCTCTCGGGCTGAGCAACAGCATCCGTGGGAGAGACACACAAGAAAGGCAACCAAGAGGCTTTGAACCCAGGAAGCGAGGCGGGGGCCTGGTCTTCCAGGTGGTCCTTCAAGGCAAGGCAGGATGTTTGGCAATGTGCCAGGGTCACCGTATCCCCTTTCCTAAAATAATTCTTATTGACGTTATCACGTATTAAGTTATGGGACTCAAATGCCTGCAAATCCCTGGTGGTCATCCTTGAGGCAAGGACATCTTTCCCAGGCTGTTTTCCCATCTGTGACCGGGCTCTGAACACAGTGCAGCCAGTCCCAGGACCATCGACTGGTCAAGGAGCAGGACCGCGTGGTCACCAGGTCATCCTGAGTTTCTTAGAAACCCACTGGCTTCTTGCTTCTTTGCTGTCGGATGTTGAATGATCCAAGGTTCCCTGGAACTCACAGCAGCCTGCTAGAGTAACTGGTGTGGTTTAAGTGAAGGAGATTTGGGAGAACACGAGACAAGACAGATCTTTCTCATATAAAAATAAAAGGGAACAGAGTATTTCAGGGTTAATTCACAGGGTTACAATAAAAATATAGAACAAGAGACCAGCAAATGGCATAATGGTTACATCTCTGGACTCACACTTTGTCAACTGCAGTTCGAGTCCTGGACCTAGCAGCTCAAAACTCTTGCCTGGCATGTGTGCACATCTGCCCAAATCCCTGAGAGGAGAATGGAGGAGAAGGGACTGAGGAGTAGCCATCCCTCCCAGGGAGTGATTTCTCACTTTATTTGTCTCTGTCTCGGTCTCTTGGTCTCTCTGGTGAGCACACACGCTCTATAGCAAAAAAAAAAAAAAAAAAAAAAAAAACCCAAAACAAAAAACAACCAACTCTAAAAGTAAGTAAGTAAATTCGTTAATAGTAATAATAGAGCAAGGGTCCAGCAGATGGTGTGGCAGTTACGTCTCTGGACTCCCACAACACTGATCATGGTTTGAGTCCCAACTTGGTAGCTTGAAACTCACACCAGGCACATGGGCGTGAGTACTCGACATCCCAGGAGGAGGACGGAGAAGGGATTGCAGGCAAGCACACATACCCTAAGACAAAAACCTCTCAAAAAAGAGAAAATAATAATAGAACAAAAGAGCCACATAATAATGCCTGCCTTTTGTTCTAAGGAAAATAAGCACTTGTAATAGCAAAACCATTGAGTATCAGAGTAGGGAGTGCCCTCAGGGGAGAGTGTCAAACTAAGTGGAAGATCAGCCAGGCTGGAGCCCTGGGATGCTGTGAGCAGCTCCTGCTGGTTAAGAGGCCACGAGGGGCATCAGTGGTAGCAAGCCGGACAGCGCTCCCGGCTCAACACCCTTCCTCCCATTCCTTGGCCGACAAGTGGATACAAGACAATCTACCCATCTCTGAGCTGTCTTAAACTCTCGTCACTCTGGTGACTCCAGAGCAGCCAGAGTTACTTGAAATGTAAAACTGTTTAGATAAAAATCATTTATGGTTAAAAAAAAAAAAAGTAAAAATCAGATTTTATGGATTCAACAAATGGTTAAACAAGTATTTTGTGAATTAAACAAGTACAGATGGTCGCCCATTTACGATGGCTCTACCTACTGATTTTTCCACTTTAGGAAGGTATGAAAGCAATACCCACTCAGCAGAACGTGCACTCTGGTACCCATACGGCCTTCTGTTCTTCACTTTTAGGACGGTATTCAATACATCACATGAGATATTCGACACTTTATTGGGTTAGATGATTCTGCCCAGTTGTAGGTTTATTTAAGTGTTCTGAGCACGTTTAAATTAGTCTGGGCTAAGCTATAATGTTTGGTAGGCTTAGGTATATACTAAATGCTTTTTGACTTACTGTATTTTCAACTTAGGACAGTTTTACTGGGACATAGTGCCACTACAGGAGCTGTATAAAATGACTAACTCCATTGTTTACAGTTCCTCCAGCAGGTATTAGACTTATCAGAAAACTGGGAAGAAAGCAAACGTTGCCCACAGAAAATCAACAGCTCCCAAAGATCAACTTTATCTAAATCATTTCATAAAATTGCTAATTTCACCAAGAGAATCAGGAAGCAGAGGCAAAAAATGACTACTTACACTGCAATGAACTTTTAAACAGGAAAACAGTGAAAAGAAAAAACTAACTTCAATGTCTATAGGAAACTTATTGTAGGTTTTTTTTTTTTTTTATAGAAATACAGGTTTGAAATGAATAATAAAAGACATAACCTGCTTATAATTACATTGCAATTATTTCACTATACGATTCAGGCTGATAAAAAAATATTTTACTTCACACAGCCGTTCTTCTCATCATATTCCTTCTTCTCAGCCAATCTGAGTGGTTTTTCATTTGGTTTCTGAGTACTAGAAATCAAAAAGACATTTATTAAGATTTGTGAACCCAGGGGCCTGCAGGTGGTGTGGTGGTTAAAGGATTCCCACATGGGCCACTGCAGCTTGAGTCCTGGACCTGGTGGCCTGGTGTTCTCACTTTCCCTTTCTCTTTTTCTGTGTCTCTCTGGACAAATTGAAAAATAATAATAACAAATGAAATTAAATAAATAAATAATTCTTTAAAAATTTTAAAAACAGCCATGTATGTTTGTCAAAAACTATTAAAAAGAGGGACCAGCAGTTAGCGTAATAGCTATGTCGCTGAACTCCCATGTAGCCAACCTCAGTTCAAGTTCCAGACCCAGCAGTGGCTTAAACTCACGCCGGGTACATGTGTATGGGTGCCCAAGATCCTGAGAGGAGAATGGAGGAGAAGGGATTGCAGCATGGCCATCCCCCCGGGGGGTGATTTCTCGCTTTCTATCTCTCCCTCTCTGTCTTTCTGGTGAGCGCGCATGCCCTGTAGCAAAAATCTCGCAAAAAAAAAAGAAAAAATTGTGAACCCAGAGCCAGCAGATGGCAGTTAGGGTGCTGGACTTCTACACGACCGACCGTAGTTTGAGTTCCAAACCCAGCAGCTTGAAACTCATGGCAGTGATGGGACCAGCAGATGGTATAATGGTGACATCACTGGGTTCCCACATAGTCGACTGCAGTTGAAGTCCTGGACCTGGTGGCTTAAAATTCACAATGAGTGCGTGTGTGTCCACCCAAAATCCCGAGATGAGAATGGAGGAAAGGGGATTGCAGCATGGCCATCCCCCCGGGGGGTAATTTCTTGCTTTCTCTATTTTTCTCTCTAGCAAGCACATGCGCTTTATAGCAAAAATCTCTCTAAAAAAAATTTTTTTTTGAGAGAATCAAAGCTTAGCCCTTTAACTGTGAAAATCATTTTTGACACTTCAATGCTGGCTGAGATGGGGTGAGCCCTCAAAAGCCTACCTCTCCTACTAATTACAAAGAAACTCTGAATAAGGCACCAGACGAAAGGGAAAAGAAGTAAAAACCCCCAAAATTACCAGGCCACAGTAGACACCATGAGTTTGTAGTCAACTCTACTGCTAACCAGTTGTCATGGTATTTTCCCTTCAAATTACTGTATGTTTCATCAAATTTCCCAAAGCTACCCCTTTCAGAAATTGGGTATTTCTCCATCATTAATCCTACAGAACACTAGATAAGACAATCTTACATTGAAGTCTCCAGACAACTGAGTTTTCAAATCATACCTGGCTGCCGGTATATCGGGGTCCGCGTATATGGTTATACCTCTTTTTGCTGGCCAATATGCTGAAGATTCAACACACTGTTAAAAAAAATTTTCAGAAAGATAATGTATGCTAGCAACATATACTTTTAACTCTATGGGAATTATTATAATAATCAACAATCTCAGATAATTTTTATGCACACAAAGATATGGAGAGATGATCCACGAGAAGTCAGATGACTAAGTTACTGCTGCAACCACCAGATTGAAATGTGCAAGGAACAGCCTGGTGGCATTGTATTAGGTCTTATTTTTTTCTATGCAAAAATATGACACGACTTCCCTGACAACGCAATACAATAAGCAGTATTTAAAATATCCTGCAAATAGGGACCGGTAGTTGGCATAATGGTTATGTCACTGGACTCCCACGTAGTTGATCGCAGTTCGCGTCCTGGACCTGGTGGCTTAAAACTCATGCCGAGCACGTGTGCATGCGTGCCCAAGATCCCGAGAGGAGAATGGAGGAGAAGGGATTGCAGCATGGCCATCCTCCCTGGGGGGTGATTTCTCTCGGTCTCTCTGTCCGTCTGGTGAGTGCATGTGCCCTATAGCAATTAATGGGAACAGCAGGTGGTATAGTGGTTAAGATACCTTAACTCCTACATGGCTGACCATGGGTTCAAGTCCTGGACCTGGTGGCTTGCATTCTTACTTTCCCTCTCTGTCTGTTTCTCTCTGGTGAACACATGTGCCCTATGACAAATTAAATAATAATAATAAATTTAATTTTTAAACATAAAATAAAATATCCTACTACTATATCCACTTGTCTTGTCAAAAGGGCTAGAAGGCAGATTAGACTTGAACTTAACAGTGTCCTAGAATTCCAGACTTTCACATCTTTATTAAAAAGAGAATAAATCTTCAAATTTTGTAGAGGCCGCTAAGCTAAGAATTAGAGCTTGGCAAGATATGAGCTGGAGTTACCTTGTTCTTTTGAAATAAGCAAACATACAAACTATATTGTTTCATAAATAAAACTATCATAGGCAATGATTCTTTTTTTTTATATATGTAGACCACAGATTAGTTTATTTTTAACACCCATCATGCCATGAATTCATAGGGAATAGGTTCCAGTAGCTCAGGCTCCCTTCCATTGGTTCTCACAACGTGTGCTTCTCTGGGTGGAGCAGGCTGGCGCTTCAGTTGAACCCACGTACCTTTCTCTGGCTTCCTTCTTTTTCTGGTCAGTTTCCTTCACACATTTTAGAATGCTTAATATGCTCAATACACACATTTATTCTCTTGGCAAGAATCTTGCCCTTAACTTGTTTGTTCACAACAACGCCAACAGCATGCTGGGTAACAGTGTAGACTCTTCCAGTTTTGCCATGGTAACATCTGTGGGACATTCCTTTTTGAACAGTACCCATTCCCTTAATGTCTACAATATCACCTTTCCTGTAGATTTGCACATATGTTGCCAAAGGAACCACTCCATGTTTTCTAAAAGGCTTAGAGAACATATATCGGGTGCCTCCCCTCTTTCCTTTTGTGTTTGTCATTTTGGTTAATTACTGGAAGATGGCGGTTCCAGCCAAAAGGGGATTCCTTTTTTTTTTAGAAAACATATTTCTGGTTCCCAATAGACCTTAAAAGCAGCTATGCTAAAATTAACATTGTATGACAATTATACTTAATGGACATTTTAAAAATACAACCTTATCTACACCTTTTAAAGAAATGCACTGCTCTTTCTTTTCGGACTTCTTTTTGCATGAATCTTTCAATGAATCCATGTTACATTTTATAGCTTTATCTGAAAAATAGAAATAGTGATAAGCTATCGTGAAAAGTGTTATAGATAGATAAAAATAGGACAAGAATATAATAAAAACAAATACCAGAACAAAAGAAAAAAATCGACAACAACAAAATTATAAAACCTTAATACCTAAAATTTTTATGGAATTGTATGAAATGTTACTTGATGAGATTATATTTTAGAGATCTTGTTTCAACCTTTAATCTAAAGAAACAGTTCTAAATATTCCCATACTTATAAAATTTTTATGGAATTGTATGAAATGTTACTTGATGAGATTATATTTCAACCTTTAATATAAAGAAACAGTTCTAAATATTCCCATACTTAGACTATCTATTTTTATTGGAGAAGTTTTTGCTATAGGGCACATGCGCTCGCCAGAAAGACAGAGAGAGACAGAGAGACAGAAAGCAAGAAATCATCCCCCGGGGGGATGGCCACACCGCAATCCCTTCTCTATTCTCCTCTTGGGATCTTGGGCATGCACGCACATGCGTCCCGTGTGAGTTTAAGCCACTGGGTTCTGGACTCAAACCGCGGTTGACTACATGGGAGTCTAGCGACATAGCCATTACGCTAACTGCTGGTCCCTCAACTTAGACTATTTTTTCAAAGAGGGCCACAACAACGTCCTCTAATACTCATGCTCTTACAGCGTCGCTTTGACTCTCATTGCAAGATGGGCTCTGTATTCTTTCCCGCGAACCTGGTTGGGCTTGTAAACAACAGGGAAGTGGTGCTCTGGGACTTCTAAAGCTAGATCACAAAAAGTGCCATGAACTTATCCATTTCTCTGGCGTGCTCACTTTGGAAACCCAGCCACAATGCTGTGAGGAAACCCAAACAGCCATACACAAGGTCACTACAGGTATTCCAGATGACAGCCCCTGCTAAAGTCCCCAAAGCCAGCCTCAACTGCAGGAAACATGGCCAAGTCTTCAGGAGAATCCAACTGTTGGGTTACCAGCAAGCCTTCAAGTTTTTCTAGCAGAGGCATCAGACTGTGGAACAGAGATGAGCCCTCGTGCTGTGCCCACTCTGAATTCCTGATGACAGAATCCAACTGTAGACTGGTTGTCCCTGTATAACGCTAAGTTTGGGGTAGACCTATTATACTGACAGTATCTAGAATATCAATGGCTCAGGTTTGGCCATAGTTCAAGCTCGCAATTGTACATTTCGCTTCTTAAACACAGAGTAGACGTACACGGCTTTAGATAACACACTAAGGGGCCAGCAGGTGGCAAGGTGGTTAAGGCACTGTACTTTCACATGGCCAAAGGCATGGTTCGAGTTCCAGACCAGGCAGTTTGACAATCATGCTGGGCATGTGTGCCCATAAGGGAGGAGAATGAAGGAGAAGAGCACCATTCCCATGTTGTTTTCAAGTGGACATGGCCATCGCCCTGGAGGACGGTTTCTCACTTTCCTTCTCCCAGTCTCTACCTGGCAAATGCACACACCCTATGGCAAAAACAAACAAACAAACAAACAACAAAAAACAACCCTGAAAAACAGAAATAATGAATAAAAGAAAACACACTGAATATGAATAAGCCAGGAGGTACCAACATTCTAAGGCAGACTCTAGGCCTAAATCTAACTTTTGGAAAGTGACAGAAGTTGTCTAGTGAATAATACAGACAATCAAGCTGAGTAATCACACTTAGGAAAAAACTGAGATGTAACTCCAAAGAAAGAAAAAGGAAAACAATTCAACCCAGCAATCATTTATTAGAATGACTATTCTAGAGCTAATTCTAGAAAAGTGTTCATTCTAAGAATTAGTAAGAGAAATACAAACTGAAATAAGGGGGTACTCCTTTCACCTATTAAATAACATTAACCATTAACATAAACAGCTAGTACTAGAAATGGGAGACAATATTGTAAATGGGTCTAACCCCTTCTTTAAAGTAGTTTGGAGCCCAAGCAGCATGTCATATGGTCCTGAGGTCGGAATTACATTCTCTCTTCGGGGTTCAAACTTTCAGCCAAGAACTCACTCTGGTCTAGAGCCAGGAGTACAGTAATCAGTGCAGAGAAATAAAAAGACAAAAAATGTAAAAGAGGGGGCCTGTAGGTAGTGTGGTGGCGAAGGCACTGGCTTCCTACACGGCCAACCACTGCTCAAGTCCTGGACCTGGCAGCCTGGAAATCACACCAGGCGTGTGTGCATGTGTGTCCAAAATCATGAGAGGAGAATGGAAGAAAAAGGGACTATCATGTGGCCATCGCCCCTGGAAGGTAGTTTCTCACTTTCTCTCTCTGTCTCTTTCCAGTGAGCACACACGCCCCATGTCAAAAACCAAAATAAATAAATAAATAAATAAGTCTCATACTCTAAATATTTGAATCTTGCTTTGCTTGTATTTTTAAACTACAAACATATGGAATTCAGAAAACATAACTAAACGTTAGTAACTTGAAACAGTTTTTTCCTAGACTCATAAAAAGAAATGATAATAGCTTTAGGACCATAAAACTTGTCACAGGCTCATCAGGACCGAATTCTAAATATTAAGCGCAGGGATCAGCAGTTAGTGTAATGGCTATGTCGCTGGACTCCCATGTAGCCGACCGCGGTTTGAGTCCCGGACCTGGTGGCTTAAACTCACGCCGGGCGCGTGTGTGTGTGTGCCCAAGATCCCGAGAGGAGAATGGAGGAGAAGGGATTGTGGCGTGGCCATCCCCTCTGGGGGGTGATTTCTCGCTTTCTATCTCTCTGTCTCTCTCTCTCTCTCTGGCGAGCACACGTGCCCTATAGTAAAAACCTCTCAAAAAAAAAAAAATTAAGCACAGAATTCAACTCTCTGTTTCCATGTGGGAAAAGCTTATAAAAATGTAGTGGGGATAGTCAACCAGAGAGAAACAGGACATCGAGGCTGCAGGAAAACAGCGATTTTATTAGTGCTGGCATTGGCTCAGCGGATTTACATTTAAAGGCTGAGTCCTGAACTTCTGGGGGCCCTTCCTTTTATTCAGTTTAGTCTCTTTTCCCCCCTTAAGTGGTTATATATACACTTTTACATATTTTTGATTGGGTAATTTATATGATAAGGTTGCTACCGAGTTATATAGTTATCACTGGGCTACTGGACTGAGACACTCAGGTGTACATGAAGTTATAGTGACTAAGTTGCTATGGAGACAAGACGACAAGGTCACTATGGGGTGCACATGCGTACTCAAATTCCAAGTATGCCATTATCCTTCCTTATTCTAGAAGGCCCCCCCCCCACCACACAACAACTTAGCTCAGTATACAAAGATCATAAATGAAATGATTTAAAGGAAAAACATACAAGTAAAACTCCACTCACTTTCTATTCCTTGAAAATATTTTCCTTGCAGAAACATTGGCCAAAGGGTAAGTGCTGGGTTGAGGTTATTGGAGAAGGACGCCGACTTTACATTCAATCTTGGTTTCTCTGAAGAGTCAACGTTTTTATTCGCTATCGGTGACACGTAACAAGCGAAGTTCTTTGCAACCAGATCATCATTAACACAAATCTGTAAAAGTTTAAGCACGTCATGGATAACAAGATAAATATAGGCAAGTGACTGGAAAGAAAATACTCAGATTTAACCTCAAATTTCAATCATATAAAGATAATTTGGCAGAATCAGATCTTTTGACCTCTGCTTTGCTAACGGAGAACTAATTACTTCTCACCAACCCTTCTAATGAGAAATACAAGGATCGGCATGAAATTTAAAAAGTATCTTCCTGAAAGCACTGGAAAGCTGACACACCTCAGCCAGGCAAAGAGCTGGTGGAGAGACTAACCATCAGAGGAGAAACTGAGCATTTTACTGAAATTTAAAATTTCTGCTTTTCAAAAGAGAATAAAAGAGATAAGACAATTTAAAAAAAAAAAAACACAAAAAAAACCACAAGTATCTAGGGACCAGCAGCTGGTGTAATGGCTATGTCACCCGACTCCCATGCAGTGGCCCGCAATTCAAGTCCTAGAGATCCAGTGACTTAAACTCACGCCAGACGCGTGTGCATGCGTGCCCAAGATCCCAAGAGGAGAATGGAGGAGAAGGGATTGCGGCGTGGCCATCTCCCCAGGGGGTGATTTCTCGCTTTCTGTCTCTCTGCTTCTGTCTTTCTGGTGAGTGCACACATCCAATAGCAAAAACCTCTCCAAAAAAAACAATAAAGACAAGTATCCGAAAGGACACATGTCCACAATATATAAAGAAATCTCAAAAGTCAATAAAAACAACCCAATAAAAAATGGGCAAAAAGTTTGAACACGTCATCAAAGATTTATAGATTACAAATAAGCAAACAAAACACCACTACTCATTTGGGAAGTGCTCATTTAAACCATGATGAGATACCAGTACACACCGATCAGAATGGCCATCCATGTGTTGAAAGGGACGTGGAAGAGCTGAAACTCTCCCACACTGCTGATGTAAAATGATCGACCACTTGGAAAATAATTTGGCTGTGTTTTAAAAATAATTACTTATTTTATTTATTATGATTATTTTTTAATTCACTACAGGGCAAGTGAGCTTATCAGAGAGAGAGAGAGGAAAAGTGAGAAAGCAAGCCCCCAGGTCCGGGACTCAAACTGTAGTAGGCCATGCAGGAGTCCAACGCCTTCATCCCCATGCCACCTGCTGACCCCAGCAGTTTCTTAAGACCTACAATATTGCCCAGAAGTTTAAATCCTAGATGTCTGCCCAAGAGAAATAAAAGAGTAGGTCTGTAGGAAGACTTACACATGAATATCTGCAAAAGCCCCAACTGGTCACAACTCAAATGTCCATAAACAAGAGACTGGGTAAATATACTGTAGTAAGACAGAAGATGGAAGAGCACATGGTAGTGAAAGGAACAAACCCTGGGCACAGGTAGTAACATGGAAGCTCCTTAAAATAATTCTGCTGAATGAAAGAAGCCAGGCTAGAAAGGAGATCCCCCTGGGATATACCCTCGTGCTCCATTTGGAATCTGGAAAAGAACTCTGGCCCTTGCTTTCCTTTCGGGCATAACTGCCAGAACTTCATGCATTCACTGTAAGTTCTCCCTCGACCTCCCTGCCTCCTTCATCACCTTAAGTAAGAGAAGGCCATCACCAGTGTACAACTTACATGGTGAGAAAGAGAGGTCTACTTGTAAAAAGCAAGACGGAAGTAACTCAATAGAGAATTTATTTTTAAAAGGATGTTTTATGGGACCAGCAGATGCCGTGACGGGTCAGGCACTAGACTTCCCATATGGTAGACTGTGCGGCTCAAGTCCCAGACCTGGTGGCTTGAAAATCATGGCAGGTGCATGTATGTGAGGGCCCAAATCCCCAAGAGAGGAGTGCAGAAGAAGGGATTGTGGCATGGCCATCACCCAGGGTGGGGGGCAGGGGAGCTGTGATTTCTCTATCTCTCTGTCTCTGTTAGTAAATGGGAGAGGAGAAACAGTTTTTGTTATAGAATTCCAACGAAAAGTGTAGAGGGAATGGTGGAAACAGGCAAACACCCAAGTGCATGCATCACTTTGACAAAAACTTAAAAAAAATGATGTTTTACAAGATCGGCTGTGTAGCTGAACTTTTGGCATTTTCACCAAGGTGTAAAAAGTGCAATGAAAAGCAACCAGGATATGGGGAATCCAAAATGCAATATAAACAGTAACAAATGAACTTTATTACAAAAGAATAACAATCATGCTTAACAGAGTGGGAAAGGAAAAAAATTAACCTAAATAACTGGAAAACACTATTTTTGGTAGCATGATATAAGGCTAAAAACAAATCTTTTCTTTTTTTTGAGAAAGAGGGATTTTTGCTATAAGGCTCATGCGCTTTCCAGAGAGACAGAAAGCAAGAAATCAATCCTGGGAGGGATGGCCACACCACAATTCTTTCCCCTCCACTCTCCTCCTGGGATCTCGGGTGCACACACACCTGGTGTGAGTTTCATGCCTCCGGGTCCGGGACTTGAACCACAGTTGGCCATGTGGGAGTCCAGTGACTTAATCATTATGCCATCTGCTGGTCCTGACAAACCTTTGTATTACAGGATGCTGGTTAGTAATTCTGAAACTGCTTTATAGGAATACAAAGACTAATCACGTAGGTATTGTCGTTAGTGAAAACTGGTATCTTATCTGATGGAAAGGGATTAAGAATAAGGGAAGCAGAGGGTTAGAACGAACTCCCTGGTCCTAGATTGAAATCAGAGGTACCAGAGCTCTTCATGTGCAAATGGACAGATAGAGAAATAAATTGTGTGCAGGGGTTAGTGTACATGCCTACGTTTCCTAACTCCTTTTGCAGAGAGGTGCCTACAATCAAAGACACCCCAGGAGCAACAAGCACCCTCGGTGCCCTCATTTTGGTATCTAAACATCATTCTTCAATATAAGGAATGAGGGATTCTTAGAGATAAAAGTTCATTCTAAGGTGGAGCTGAAAAATGACCAAAGGGCCTAGGGCCTCTTGTAGCACCAGAAAGGATGGCGTGTTCAAACAATGATGGGGCATATGGAAAGGATAAAGAAGCCGCTTTGCAGAAGCTCCTAGTGGCCAAAATCTGAGACAATTTGGGCAAGACAATAATGACAGTAATGGATTGTAACTCCCCACATAAAGGAAATACCCAGGCATCCATTCCAAACTGTTGAAATAATAAATTAATCATGGGGAAAGACATTAGTGGGGAAACTGACAATGTTCATATAAGGTCTGTAGAGATTTTTAAGTAGTATTTTGTCAATGCTTATTTTCCAGTTTTCATAGCTGGTTTTAAAATCTCCACCCTGGGGCCAGCAGGTGGTGTGGTGATTAAGGCACTGGACTTCCATGTGGCTGATAGTGGTTCAAGTCCTGGCTGCTCTCTCTCTCTCTCTCTGGTCAAATTAGGAAGATAATAATAACAAATAAAATAATTTGTTTTAAAAACAATAAAATAAAATGAATAAATAATATATTTTATTATATATAAAATAAAATGAATAAATAATATATATCTTTTAAGTCTCTATCTTATTTTTGCACATCTTCTGTAAGCCTACAATTATTTCAAAATAGGGGCCAGCAGATCATGTACTGGTTAAGGTAATGGACCCCCACATAGCCACTTGGGATCTGGCAGCTTGAAAATCATGCCGGGCAGGTGTGCATGTGTGCCCGAAATCTCAGGAGGAGAATGGAGGAGAAGGGATTGCAGGGTGGCCATCCACTGGGGTAGTGATTTTTCACTTTCCCACTAACTGTCTCTCTCTTGTCTCTCGGGCAAGCACATGCACTTTATAGTAAAACCTTAAAAAAAATTATTTCAAAATAAATTTTTGTAAAAATCTGTGGCAAAGGCGCCCTTTGTGGGCATCAGGTAGCCCTAGTTCTATGCCCTCCATTGACCTCTACCCGAGGCATAGAACAATGCCCTGTGCCACTTTTCAGGAAAGACATCTAGCCAAAGTAGTTGCAGCCAACAGCTGGGGAGGAGGAGGGAGCATTTGAACTCTTTACAGCACTCATTACATATAATGAGAAAATCTGGAGGGAGAGGAATGCAGTGAACTAACACCATGGCAAATGGTTGCATTTACAAAACATGTCTTCTTAGAGAGAAACATCTTGTTCTCGTCATCATAGGGAGAATTTCTTGTCTATCACTAAATAAAATGCTACCTAAACAAAATGCTGAAATAATTTTTTAAAGTAATTGAAACAAGAAAACACAGCCCTAGGGCCAGCAGGTGGTATAGTGGTTGAAGTGCTGGACTCCCACATGGGTGACCGTGGTCCTAGTCCCTGACCTGGCAGCTTGAAGTTCACTCCGAGCACATGTGCATCTAGACACGAGAATGGAGGAGAAGGGATTGCAGCTTGGCCATCTACCCTGGGGGATGATTTCTCGTTTTCAGTCTCTCCAGCCAGCACACACGCCCTATAGCAAAAAGATTAAAAAAAAAAAAGAAAGAAAGAAAAAAGAAAACCCAGCCCTGGCTAACATCTAATCTAAACCAGACTTGAAAAGATTAAGATCGTTGCTACACTGAGTGAGTTACACTGTTTTACTAGCCATTCGCTCTTTGTATAAGGTTGTCGGGAAAATCATGACACATTCCGGCACAGAAAAACATGTCATGACTTTCCCGACAACCTAATATTAAAGTATTGAAATATTAAAGTATTAAAATATTGAAATAGTAAAGTATTGAAAATGATTAAATATGTTAAAAACAAACCCTTTACTTACTTTTTCATTTTTTATAGTTACATAAAGGTAAACCTCAAAAGTATCATCTTCCACAGCACACAACTTGGCTTCCACCTGGGAAGTTGCTAAAAGCATAAATGAAAGCATAAATTAGCTGATACTGAAAGCATCTAAAGGACCAGTAAATGGCGTAATGGGTACGTCGCTGGACTCCTATGCAGTGGACCATGGTTCAAGCTTCAGACCCGGTAGCTTAAAACAACCAGGCGTGGATGTGTTTGTACTCAAAATCTCAAAAGGAGACTGGAGGAGAAGGGATTGTAGTGTGTGGCCATCTCCCCTGGGGTGTGCATATGTGTGTGTGTGTGTGTGTGTGTGTGATTTCTCACTTTCTCTCTATTTCTGTCTCTCTAGCAGCAAGCACACATACCCTACAGCAAAATCTCTCTGAAAAAGAAAACAATTATGATTATTTTCCACCTAGTCATTTCTGCTAACCTTTAAAGAACACCCAGCGTTGGAACCAGTAGTTAGTGTAATGGCTATGTCGCTAGACTCCCACGTAGTCGACTGCGGTTCCCATCCCGGACCCGGTGGCTTAAAACTCATGCCGGGCGCGTGTGCATGCGTGCTCAAGATCCCGAGAGGAGTACGGAGGAGAAGGGATTGCGGCGTGGCCATGGGCTGGAACAACCACCACATAAGCCCCAAAGCAAGGAGAGATGGAAAAGGAATTGCAGCGTGACCATGCCTCATGGGAGGTGCTTTCTTGCTTTCTCTCTCTGTGACAAAGTTAAAAAAAAAAAAAAAAAAAAAGGGAAGAAAGAAAGAAAGAAAGAAAGAAAGAAAGAAAGAAAGAAAGAAAGAAAGAACGAACGAACGAACACCCAGCGTTGGAAGCCAGCAAGCAGCATGGTGGTTAAGGCACTGGATTCCCACATGGCCAACCATGGTTCCAGTTCCAGACCTGACCACCTAAAAATAAAAATGGGTGCACGTGTGTACATGCCCAAAATCCCAGGGGGAAAATGGAGAGGAGACTGCAGCATAGCCATCCCTCCTGGGGAGTTACTTCTCACTTTCCCTCTCTCCACAAAAACATCCACCCTGCGCCAAAATGCCATAGAGCTTCCTTGGGCAATGTGGGCAGAAGAGACCTGGGGCAGTTAGGAAAAGGCTCTCCAGACTGTAGTAAGGAGACTGGGTCCTTTGTCCCCGTTTCCATAACCCGCTGGCATCCTATGACTACCGCTCAAGTACAGTCCTCAGTCTTCTCTTCCAGGGACTTCCAAACCCAAATTTCCCATCACAAACTTTTTTTTTTTAACTGCCAGAGAGCCTATGTGCTTGCCAGAGAGAGAGAGAGGTAAAAGAAAGAGAAAGCATCCCTCCCCCCACCCCAACACACAAAGCGATGTGGTCACACTGCAATCCTCTTTCTTCCAATTGTTCTTCCTGTCAGGATTTTGGGCACACTCACACACATGTGCAGCATTCCCTTCAAGACTCAAGATTCTAACCATGGTTAGCCATAGGGGACCCAGCTCTCTTAGCCACTGAGCTAAGGGGCTGACCCTTGGTCACAGTCTTGGATGCTCCATGGATCAGAGTACTTGGCAACTCTATAAGAGACTTAATAACCAAACAGCAGCTCCACGTTTTGGTACCCATCTGACACTACGCTAAGTCCTTAAAACCTTTCGCTACTTGATTTTTGCCACAAAGCTCTGAGGTAAGTACTGTTACTGTCATTTTACATCTGAAGAGATCAGACTCAGAACAAGTTAAGTAACGTGCCCGCGGCTGCTGAGAAGTGGGAGAGCAGAAATCAAACCTAGGCCGTCTGCCTCCTCCAGGTTTGTATTCACATCTCTTATCATGCCCCAACCACTCCCAAGGGCCAAACCTCCAAACCCAGCAGTGTTCCCAACCTCCTGCTTCTCCCAGGTTCAGAGAATCTGGGTTTCCTTCACCCAGATGATGAGACAGCTCAGGAGAAGGGCCAGGACTGGACCTACCTAGGTATGGGGCCCAGCCTAGCACACTAACTCTCTAGAACAGCCCTGTGAGGAAGGCCCAGCTGTTTGACTACTGACTGCTAGGAGTTAAGATGGCAGCCACAAAGAGTCTGTCACTGACATAAAATAAAGACAGCGCACTAATGAGAAGTCAAAGACATTTCATACCACGGGACTTCTAGAAGTTGGTGGACAAAAATTAAAGTACGAGTTTATTTTGGGTGCAAAAAAAATTAAAATCCATGCTTAGTTTTTCCATAATACATATTTCCCATAAATTTCTTGAAGACCTATATACATCTTAAGTCAGCAATAATGATTATTACATAATAAATATCCACTTACTATCCCTTGCCCATGGTAATAGCTATGCTTTTACGAACTGCTGTTCTAATAATACGTAAATTTATTTTACAGTGCTGCAGCTTGTATGCAAATTAAGAGACAGATGTTAACACAACAGCCCCTTTCAAATTTCAGCTGTTGATTGCTGGTATCTGCATTCACCTGCAAAGTTCCAGGGCTGCAGAGACATCAGGACACTTGGGATAAGAGTTCCAGGTCACTTAAGGAATCCTTATGAGGTAGGGCAGACAGTTAAGAAGGCACATCTCAACCTTCCACCAACAGAAGATTAAGCCACATTGGGTGTCAGTTCTTTTTTTTTTTTTTTATTTTTTTTAAGAGATATTTTTGCTTTAGGGTGTATGTGCTTGCCAGAGAGACAAAGAGACAGCGAGAAATCACCCTCCAGGGCAGATAGCCACACCACAATCCCTTCTCCATTCTCCTCTCAGGGTTTTTGGACACACATGCACATGCACCCAGAGTGAGTTATGTCACCCAATCTGGAACTCAAACCACGGTCAACTACGTGGGAATCTAGCGACGTAACCATTGTGCCATCTGCTGCTCCCAGGTGTCAGTTCTAAGCAGACCATAGTGAATATGCCATAGCCTTACCTTTGAGAATGTTCTGGAAGTACTGGATAGCGGCACTGTCCCACTTCTTGGCAGGTCTGGAATGGTGAACAGATTAAATAAATATCATTTTGTACACCATGCGCTGGATGTTTCTGACACTGTAGATCTAACGTATGATGCAGCAACAGGGAGCTTGGCTCTCACCCTGCTCTGGGGTGAAGATTCCAGCTGTATCCAGGCTGCACCAGTGCAGAGGCTCCCAAACAGAGGCCCCCTGAGAATACTGTGCCCACCATGGCTTCATCTGTCACAACCCCACTGTCCCCAGTTACCTGTGACAACCAGAACACAAGCTCCCTGGGGTATGGGTGCCGAGTGTGCAGTGCCCAGCACAGACTAGCACAGAAGGGGCTAAACTAACACCCTAAGAAACAACACGGGAAAGGCAGTGGCTGTCATCTCATGGTATTCCTCACTCTGTGACTTCAGTGCCTTTTTCCTGTCTGCCATTTTATTTCTAGCACCGTGTCCTTTCTACACCTGTCCTATGTTTTAAAGAGGAAGTCATAGGAAACGCCACAGACAATGAAAAAGAGAAACTAGTATCTGGAAGCAAGGAACAACTAACTAACTAAATAACTAACTAAATAAATAAATGTAGGTTAGGGTTAGAAAGGACAATTTATGTTTCCACTGGTTTTATGTGTTCAGAGATGCCACTGCCATCCTCTAAGAGTTGTCTTAAAGACTGAATGGGGGGACCAGCAGTTAGTGTAATGGCTATGTCACTGGACTCCCATGTAGTCGACTGCAGTTATGTAGGTTAGGGTTAGAAAGATATATTTATGTTTCCACTGGTTTTATGTGTTCAGAGATGCCACTGCCATCCTCTAAGAGTTGTCTTAAAGACTGAATGGGGGGACCAGCAGTTAGTGTAATGGCTATGTCACTGGACTCCCATGTAGTCGACTGCAGTTCGCATCCCGGACCCAGTGGCTTAAAACTCAGGCCGGGCGCATGTGCGTGTGTGCCCAAGATCCCAAGAGGAGAATGGAGGAGAAGGGATTATGGCGTGGCCATCCCCCCTGGGGGGTGGTTTCTTGCTTTCTGTCTCTGTCTCTCTCTGTCTGGCGAGTGCACGTGCCCTATAGCAAAAAAAAAAAAAAAAAAGACTGAATGGGGCCAGCCCCATAGTGCAGTGGTTAACCACTGTGCAGAGGGAGCAGATACCACATGGCCCGTCGCAGGTTCAATGCCAGCTCTGGCAGCTTGCAAAATACATCACAAGCATGCGTGACTGGAATTCTGATGAGTGGAGAAATGGAGGGAAAAAGGATTGTGGTGTAACCAGGCCTCATTGGAAGGTGATTTTGTCTTGTGCACATACAATCTCTAGCCTTAAAAAATAAATAAATAAATAAATAAAGTTAAATGAGGTAATGTACACAAAACACTTAAGACACTTAGCCTTGTGCCTGGACACAATCAGTGCTCCAATACATTAGTTACTGTTATTTTTACTAAGGAATACAATTTTTAAAGAATTATTTATTTAATTTATTTATTAGTTTTCTTTAAAAAAAATTTGTTACAGGGTACATGCACTTAGCAGAGAGAGACAGCAAGAGAGGAAAGGAGGGAAAATGAGAAAGCAAGCCACCAGGTCTGGGACTTGAACCGTGGTTAGCCATGTGGGAATCTAGCACCCCAACCACCATGCCACCTGCTGGCCCCACTAAGGAAGATAACGATTCAAAAGAATTACAAAGAAATTCTAGGGAGAGACGGTAAAATAAAGAAAATAGTCTTAGGTACCAGCAGATGATGTAATGGTTACATTGCTGGACTCATGTTGTCAACCACGGTTCGATTCCCAGACCTGGTGGCTTAAAACTCACACCAGGCATGTGCTCTTGTGTGACCAAAATTCTTTTGTTTTTTAAGATTTATTTATTTATTCATTCATTCATACATTCATTCATTTTAATTTAACCAGAGAGAAACACAGAGAGAAAGAGAGGAAAGTAAGAAAGCAAGCCACCAGGTCCATGAACCCTGGTCGGCCATGTGGGACTGTCCAGCGCCTTAACCAACACACCACCTGCTGGTCCCATGTGACCAAAATTCTAAGAGGAGAATGGAAGAGATGGGATTGTGATGTGGCCAGGCCACTGGGGGATGATGTCTTGCTTTCTGTTTCTCTGTTTCACGCAAGTGCCTGCACCCTATAGCAAAAATCACTCTCAAAAAATAAATAAAGTTCTAAACCCTTGCTACAAACACACACATAAAAAAAAAAAAAAAAGAAAAAGAAAAGAAACAACAACAACAACAAAAACAACTAATAGCCTTTTCTAAAAAAACAAATGTTCCTGAGTCAGACAGTGGTGCAGTAGTTAAGGTGCTGGACTCCTACATGGGCAGCCACAGTTTGAGTCCTGGACCTGGAGGCTTGCTTTCTCACCTCTGCTCTTCCTGCCACCTGTCTCTCCAGTGAGCACACATGCCCTACAGAAAATTTTAAATAATAATTACTAAAATTAAATAATTTTTTTTTAATTTCCTGAGGGCCAGCCAGTGGCATGGTGGTTAAGGTGGCCAGATCCCTCATGGATGACTACACAGTTCGAGTCCTGGACCTAGAGGCTTGAAACAAACACCAGGTACGGTATGTATGTGTACCCAAAATCTCAAGAGGAGAATAGAGGAGAAGAGACTGCAGCATGGCCATCAGTCCAGGGGGTGATTTCTCACTGTATCTTTCTCTAGCCCTATCCAGCAAGAGCACAGACACAAATTCAAAACAACAACAAACCCAAACACTCCTAGTAAGAAAAAGGCAAACAATCCCAGCAAAAATCAATCTACTCTATGAACAATCGGCCTCTCTCTCTCAAACACACACACACTAGACACATGAAGAGATACTCAACTTTACAAGCCAGAAAAACACAAATTAAAGCAAAATGCTATTTTTATCCCACAAACCCGCAAAAAATTAGAGCCTAATAATATTTGATGTTGTGCGGGAAAAGCAGCACTTCCTAGTAGTATAAATTGCTATAGTCTTTTTGGAGAAAATTTGGCAGAATGAAAAATGATAATGCACCTATTTAAAAGGTGTCTTCTTGGGGTTAGACGGTGGTACGGCAGTAAAACGTGATGTTCTGTGAGGCTGACCCCTGGGAAAGTTCTGGGTTGGCATCCTGAGACCTCCCTGAACACACAGGCCTGCCCGGCTGGCACCTAAATCACACCTGGAGGTCGGCAGGTGGTTTCCCTGGAAAAGAGACGGTGAAGGGAGCAGGGGTTGCTGCTGCACAGGAGACCCTCACTTCCAAAGTCTCACAGGGCAAAGATGCGCACACGGTGGTGTGGGATGGTTGGAGGACAGCCCTGAGGAACACCCGGGTCTCAGCAGAGACAACTGAGCTGATTATCGTATTACTGCAGATTCTAAGGCCAGACAACAGGAGTGGTGCATTCACCACCCCAAAGGGACTGAGTGATGGCGGTAGGGATGGAGAATGGGGACATTTCCAGAGAGCCCACAGAGGCATCCACAGGAGACAGCTTCCAAGCACAGAGGACACAGTGTATCATCACCAGGACAAACAAGCAGAGCCAGGTTCGGGCTGTGCCCTACAATGCCATAGCCTGGGAGAGGGTGGACACCAGGTAAGAGGACAGGACTGCCTCTCCAAGGAACCACAGGAGACAGAAATGAAGCCACCCAATGGTGCAGAGATCACGCCCACATCCCACAGAGTCCTGCCCAGTGCAGAGATCCATCCTGTACGAACACCAGCAACGTAACTGAACACTGGGAAAAAGAAGCCAAGAGGAGGGCATGTGTACATGTGTGCATATGTCTCTACATCTGTGTATTACACACACACACACACACACACATATATATATATATACACATTTGAAAGAATTATTTAATTTTATTATTATCATTATTTAATTTGAACAAAGAGAGACAGAGAGAAAGGGAAGTTAGAGAGTAAGCCGCCAGGTCTGAGATCCAAACTGCAGTTGGCTATGTGGGAGTCCAGTCCCCCGACCACCATATCACCTACCAGACCCTACATTTTATATTTAAAAAAAATGTTTGAATTGCCAGAGGACACACATTCCTACCAGAGAGAGAGAAAGACAGAGAGACAGGACTGGGGGGTAGAGAAAGCACGCCCTCCACGAGGAGGCATGAACACACTGCAGTCCCTCCTCCTCCATCTCGTCACCCTGCTGGGACTGTGGGCAGATATGCACAAGTGCCCAGTGAGTATTTCTAGCCTCCAGGACCAGGATTCCAACCACGGTCAGTCACAAGTGATTGGGCTCCCTTGACCTTTGGGGTCAGCTCTGTTTTATATGTTTTTTTTTTTTTTAATAAGAATTTATCTATATTCTTATGAGAATGTAAAGTGTAAAATGGCTTGGAAACAACCTAGTTGGCCATCAGAATGGAATGGTTAAATACAGGTGTATCAATTATATCCACCCACTGGCAAAGAGCTTCTTCAATATGTCGCACATTCCAAAGTTGCTTCTGCAAAGAAGACAGTATGCTCCAACTTTCATGAAAGGCTCCACACAGACATAAGTGTATGAAAGCACTGACAAAGGTGAAAGTTCACGGTGTGAATGGACCACAGAGGCCGCCCAATAGGGAAGACATGGGCCTAGAGAAATACATAATGAACTTCTTTTAATGTCTCATATTTCTAGGTTTTATTAATGTTTTTCTTTACAGTTAGTTAATTAATTAATTAATTAATTGCTATAAAACCTTTGTGCTTGCTGAAGAAAGAGAGGTGTGGGGTGGAAGGAGGACATGAGGATATCCCAGAAGGGACATCCACACCACAATCCCTTCTCCATTCTTCTCTTGGGATTTTAGGCACACATGTACAAATGCCCAGCATGCTTTTCAAGCCGCCGGGTCTAGGACTTGAACTGCGAGGTTGGCCATGTGGGATTCAGCTGCTCTAACCTCCACACCAGCTGCTGGTCCTAATGTATTAACTTTTTGTAAGTTAAAAAAAAACAAAAGGCAAAAAGCAGAGCTCAGGCCCTATTCCAAACCCCCTTGACCATGGCCCTTGGAGATGGGCCTAGGGAACACTGCCGCCCAGCCAGGCTGGACAAACACTAACTCAGAAACCACCTCCTGAAGAATGGAGAACTTCAAAATGGCCAGACGCTTCTACAGAGGAACTGATCTCGTATAAACACTTGTTTACTGGATTTGAAGTTATGTGATGTAACCTGTTGGAGGAGCTGTACTCACACAATCTCGGCACTGTCTTCACAGAAGTCGATGTGTAACGTCATGGGCTTTGTGCAGTACAGCCTGAACTTTTTCGCTCTGTAAGGAAGCTGCATGAAAGACTCAACTGCAACTCGGATGCTTCAAAGTGAAACACAAACAGTCCCATTCAAAGGTAAATTAACATACCACGTATTCCTTTACAGTATACCTAGACCATTAATACATTTAACATAATACAACATATACAAAAATGATTCTCATCTAACAAATACCAATAGCACACAAGCAGGGGGTTGTGACAGAGGATGCCAGAGCTATAGGGGGAGGGGGCGGGGAGGAAAGGGAAGCACTTTGGGGCCAGCAGGTAGTGTGGTGGTTTAGGTGTTGGACTCCAACATGGCCAACCACCGTTCAAGTCCCAGACCTGGCAGTTTGCTTTCTCACTTTCCCTTTCTCTCTGTCTCTCTCTGGTGAGCACACGTGCCCTATAGTAAATTAAAAGAAAATAATATTAACAAACAAAGTTAAATAAATAATTCTTTTTTACAAAAGGAAGCACCAAATCTAAAAAAAAAAAAAAAGTCCCCATGGGGGACCAGCAGGTGGCGTGGTGGTTAAGGCGCTGGACACTCCCACATGGTCAACCAGGGTTCAAGTCCTGAATCTGGTGGCTTGCTTTCTCACTTCCTCTCTCTCTCTCATTATCACCCTCTGTCTCTCTGCTCAAACTAAAAAATGAATAAATAAAATAAATAATTATTAAAAAAAAAAAAAGTCCCCATGGAGTCACCCACAATAGTTATTTTTGTGATAATTATGGTTATCACAAGCTGGAAAGACATCTACTCTTTCCTTAAGTATCTGAAGATTGCCAGTGTCTGAGAAGCCCTTCTGCCCTGAAATTTGAGAGACATTGGTTGTTGCATTTGAAGTCTATTTGGTATTGCTTTGTCTTCACTGGAAGAAAGGTCCTCATGTTTATTAAACTGATGTCCTCTTACTCTGGGACAGGAAACTACGGGAAAAAATGACCAAAAACACCAAGACTGACTTGTTGCTAGTGTTTCCTAATGGACTGTGATGTGTGGTTCCAGAATCAGTGAAGGACACTATCATCAGCCAGGGACTGGCACATTCTGAAGTCTCATCCACCCTGTGTGGGAGACCATCTCAGCCGACCTTTCACCTTACAGACAGGACAGAGATGCCAGGAGGCGGGGCTCACCCACATTAAACACCATCTGTCAGTAGAACCTCAGGAAAATTTGGACTCCGTAGCATGTTTTTTTCTTATTACAATCATTCTGACTCTTTAACTAAGCTACATCCCGGCTTTGTTAGGGTGGACATTCAGGAAACACACATTTGAGGATACACACCCAGGGCTGTCCAGCAACCTTCCCCTTCTGCAGAGAAAGGCAGCATTTCTCTCTCTCTACACCCTGGGAGCCAGCAGCCAAGCCTCTCTGAAGGATCCACTCCAACACGTGAGCAAACTGAGGGGAGAGGCCTGGACAGCAGCTGGCAAAGAGCACCCAGGGGAGGTAGAGTAAACAGAGGCGCCTTCCCTGCCATCTCCCGGAAGGAAGTGGAGAAAGGTCCTGCTGCCTTCTGAGTCTTCCCTCACTATATGCTCTTGCGGTCAATGGAAGCAGAACTGGAATCTGCAAGTTCTCCGTTGAAGATAAAAAAATTCAGTTTTATCTTTCCTGGGACCAGCAGTTACTGTAATGGCTATGTTGCTGAATTCCCATGTAGTCGACTGTGGTTCGAGTCTTGGACCCGGTGGCTTAAACTCACGCCGGGCACATGTGCGTGCGTGCCCGCCCAAGATCCTGAGAGGAAAATGGAGGAGAAGGGATTGAGGCATGGCCACCCCCCAAACCCAGGGGGGGAATCCTCACTTTCTGTCTCTCTGTCTCTCTGGCGAGCACACGCGCCCTATAGCAAAAACCTCTCCAAAAAGAACTCAGTTTTATCTTTCCTCTAAAGGTAATGACCCCTCGACTCTTCTTTGAAAATGTCCTGTAAGGGGCCAGCAGGTGGCATGGTGGTTTAGGGTGCTGGAGGGTGGTTAAGGGTGCCGAACTTCCACACAGCCAACTGCAGTTAGAGTCCTGCTGGCTTGCTTTCTTACTTTCACTCTCTAGCTCTCACTCTATTCCTCTCTGATCAAATTAAAACAAATAAATAAAGTTAAATAAAATAATCCTTTTAAAAATAAGAAAATGTCCTATAAAACATATTTGTCTCCTTCAAGCATGTAAGACAAAGCAAATACATACATACTTTTTAGATTTTACTGGAATATACTTGGCAAAATCCACAAGAAAACACTCTGCCAGGTAATGGTCCGCCGAGGACATGATTGATTTAATAACGGCCCTGCACCAGCTCTTCAGTTCTTGACAATAAACCACACAAACCTACAAAAAAAAGTGAAAGGTTTTGTCTAAGTTCAGTGAGAATCTCCAGTGATATGAGAGAACAGAAAGGTGCTCTCAAAATCATCTCAGCCTACCTATTTCTTTCTTTTTTTTGGAAAAGTTTTTGCTATAGGGTGCATGCGCTCGCCAGAAAGACAGAGAGAGACAGAGAGACAAAAAGTGAGAAATCACCCCCCAGGGGGGATGGCCACGCCGCAATTCCTTCTCCTCCATTCTCCTCTTGGGATCTTGGGCACGCACACACGCCTGGCATGAGTTCAAGCCACCAGGTCCAAGGCTTGAACCACGGTTGATTACATGGGAGTCCAGCGACACAGCCATTACGCCAACTGCTGGTCCCTCAGCTTACCTATTTCACCTAACAGATGAGGACAAAGATGCAAGGAGGTGGGATCTGCCCACACTAAATACTGTCTTGTCAGTGGAAGAACCTCAGGAAGACACAGTCATTTGATTTCCATGTCGTTGTTTTATTTTTCTTACTACAATCATTTCAACTCCTTAACTAAGGACAATTTTGATAATATAAAAAAGGGAAAATGCATTGCTTTACTGTCTTAAATTGGAGAGCAAAGCTTATAAGTGATTGTCAATCATGTATCAGACCAACATGAACCTGCACCTCCCGCGCACCCTTCCCTTTCTCTCCCCAAGGCTTTCACGCCCTTCAGCATTAGTTTACTGTCCACCACAACTGGACGCTGGCTCTCTGATGACGTGGATCTTTGTCTGTTTTGTTTACTGCCGTATTCCTGTCACCTGATACAGTGCCTGGCATATCCTAAGTCTTCAAAAAACAACTTGTAGAGTGGCTGCATAAATGCCTACAGTCTTTTTTAAGGGGAATCACCTGCTGAAGGGACAGTCAGGGGCATTGGGACCAAAGAGCATAACCAGCTCTCCTGGCAACAGCCTTTAAAGCAGACTAGTGGGGAGAGCTGTGTTCAAACAGGGAAGAGGCAGGCCAGTGGAGACTCCCCACCTTTGGAATTTCAGTACGAAGGTACAGTAGAGCCACAGCGCAAGGGATGGTTCTTGAGACCCTCACATGCCCCCAAACTCAAATAATTCCAGAGAAATCCTGAGAAAGGATGAATGGTATTCCCATTTAGTGCTAAAGTCAAAGTTACTCGTAGGAATGCCATACCTAGTTAATCATTCACACAGCCAATGGACGTTTAAATTATTCTACTGGACACTCCACTAGCAAAAAAAGGAACACAAGTGTCAAAAAGTTCAATGAGGGTTCACTGATCACACAGTGGTTAAGGCAGCTAGATCCCACATGGCTGACTATGTAGATCAAGTCCCAGACCTAGCTGCTTAAAAACCATGACAGACACATATGAATATAGGCCCCAAATCTTGAAAGGAGGGCGATGAAAGAGGAGGGACTGCAGTGTGACCATGCCCCACGCAGAGTGATTTCTCATTTTTCCTCTCTCTCTGCATCTCTGTCTCTGGCAAGTGCACATACCCTGTGGAAAAACTGTTTAAAAGAACAATAATTACAAATGATAATTAAACATGAGATCAAATAGAACTTTAAAAATGAAGAGGAGAAAGACAGAAAGACAAAATCTCGAGAGAGAGCTAGGCACAAATTGCGATGCTGAGTATCAACAAAAGCAAGAATCAAGCAAGTTCTTCCATCTTTACAGTATGAACTATATTATGTCATGTTAATCAGACAGTCCTAATAGAGGAAGGGAAGTTCTATACAGAAAAATTCTGGCTCATGAATGCAGAAGGGGGACCAGCAGTTAGTGTAACGGCTATGTTGCTGGACTCCCACATAGTCGACCACCGTTCGAGTCCCAGACCCAGTGGCTCAAAACTCACGCCAGGCATGTGTGCGTGCGTGCCCAGGATCCTGAGAGGAGAATGGAGAAGGGATTGCGGCGTGGCCATCCCCCCTGGGGGGTGATTTCTCGCTGTCTCTCTGTCTCTCTCTGTCTGTCTGGCGAGCACACACGCCCTGTAACAAAAACCTCTCGAAAAAAAAAAAATGAATGCAGAAGGAATGAGGGAAATCACCACGCTGCAATCTGAGTGAAAGAACTGATTTGGGCAGCAGCAGTGACCAAGTGGAGAAGCTATTACATGAAATACCAATAGGCAAAGCCAAGAGGGAGGCACGAGGCAGTCACCATCTGAATCCATGGGTGAATCTTGGCATCACCAAAAGTGATTATCTCTCAATTAAGTAAAATGTGAAGGTCACAGCACATCCATTCTTGCAGAGAGGTGGCGGGGAGAAGTGACTCTAAATCTATTCAAAGCTTTATATTTACCTATATTAACTATCAGTTCATAGAAAATACAGGGGATAGAGGAAAAAGTTAAACCACTGTCACAAGAAAAGAATCAGGCTGTCACAATGCAGAATATTTTTGGGCTGGCTCTGTGGTCTAGTAGTTGGGGAGCTAGAGCCCACATGGCCAGCCACACAGTTTAAATCCTGGTCCTAGAAGCTTAAAAAACATGCAAGGGGGCTAGCAGGTGGCATGGTGATTAACATGCTGGCCACTCTTACATGGCCAACGGTGGTTCAAACTCTGGACCTGGCAGCTTGCTTTCTCACTTTCCCCCTCCTTCTCTCTGCTTCTCTCTGGTCAAACTTAAAATAATAAGAAGAAGTAAGATTAAGTAAATCCTTCTTTGAAGAAAAATACGCCAGGTGTGTGTGTGCGTGCCCAAAATCCCAACAGGAAGGAGAAATGGAGAAGGGCTGGGGTGTAACCACCCCCCATTGGGGGTGACTTCTCCTTGTTCCTTGCTGTCTAATGAGTACACATGTCTTTCTGGCAATTAAAATGTGTGGAGTGTTTTTAAGGACAATTGACTGGGTTTCGTTATGTTCAGTAAGAAAATAGTATGGTAAAAATAATAAATAACATTATTCATGATAATGGGGGAATTCAAATTACTTCTAATTTTTCTCAAAAGAGCTCACAGATTCTAGTGTGCTATGACAAAAGTTCAACCTCTTCCGAATAATGGCTGCAGAGAGAATCAGGTGATGGGCAATGGGAGCTGAGGCTGCAAGAAGGCAAAGAGGGGCCATGCTGTGGAGTAAGGGAAACAGAGATGCATGAGCTGGCCAGAGTCATGGGCAACCACAAAGGAGGCGTCAGCCCTAGACTGAGAACCCCATGCTCACTTTGCTGAGGTCCCTGCACACTCACTGGGTCTCAGCTAGAAGGATGGCCCTACTGCCTGGAGATAGATGATATGCCATCTCTCTCTCTTTTTTTTTAAAAAAGAATTATTTAATTGTATCTATTCATTCATATATTTTAATTTGACTAGAGAGAGAAGAGAGAGAGAGAGAAAGCAAGCCACCAGGTCTGGGACTTGAACCCTGGTTGACCATGTGGAAGTGTTCCATGCCTTAACCACCACACCACCTGCTGGTTCCCAACATGCCATCTCTTACTGCCCCACATGAGCCTCACACAATAACCCCCTTCCATGACTAGCTTGAATTTTGTGCATTCTAAAGAACTTAACACGAGGCAATGATTATAAGCAATTAAAATAATCTTAAAGTTTTCCATCAACTTGGTTGTTAAAATATACCTTACGTTTTGAGTAGCGTTTCAAGACACAAGGATTTAGATACATACCTGCCCTTCTTCTAACATTAATGGTTTCACTTCTATATCTTGACACGCACTGTTATAAAAGTCGTTCATGGCATCATTTAGCTTTTGATAGTCAACTTCATGATCTAAAAAGGGATTACATCCTTTTATAATAACCCAGAAGCAACCTGGATCGTCAACCTGTAAGTGTTAAGAGACAAATAAAACATGATGTAAAAGTAGATCCATAAAATAATAAGCCTTAGACCCATGGTAACTGTTTCTAAGTGTGCTAACAAGTTCTTGACAAGTACTTTAATCTTACAATAATTGGTCAAACCAAAAATAAAAAGACCAAAGATAAAGTACTAAAACATGAAAGCAATAATAAGTAATTCTCAGTTATATGCTATAAATCAAAAAGCAGACATTTTCCATCTCCTCTATTTTGAAAATATCCATAATGATATACAAAAGCAAGCTTCAGAAAAATGTTTTTAGTATTTATTTAAGAAAGAAAGAAAAATATGAAAATATACACATTCTGCTTATATTTTTTTAAAAAAATGTTAAGAGAGATTTTTGCTATAGGGTGTGTATGCTTGCCAGAGAGACAGAGGAAGACAAAGAGATAGTAAGTAAGAAATCACCCCAGCGGGGATGGCCATGCCACAATCCCTCGGCCTCCATTCTCTCACGATCTTGGGCATGCACGCACACACGCCTGGCCTGAGTTTTAAGCCACTGGGTCCGGGACTTGGAGAGCAGTTGACTTGGAATTCTGGGCACACAGCACACGCAAACACATAAGTGTGGCACTCAAACCACAAAGCCGGCCATAAGGGATCCAGCCTCATTACCACACCACCTGCTGGCCCCTCCAACATATTTCTTAATGTCGCCTACTGAAAGAAGCAATAACATTCCAAGTCCTAAATAACAGGTGGTGGGGATGGCAGGTGATGTGGGGGTTAAGGTACTGGACTCCCACATAGCCGACCACAGGTCAAGTCCCAGACCTGATTGCTTGTTTTCTCACTTTCTCTTTCTCTCTTCTGTCTCTCTTTGATCAAATTTTAAAATAATAATAATAATTATTAATAAAATAAAATAATGCTTTAAAAATAAAAACAGGTGGCAGGGTTATTAATGTTCACATTAGTATTTTTTCCACTTTTCTGAATGTTTGAACAATTTTATAGTAAATAATAGGCAGAAAGAACAATAGTCATTCTGGTTCTGGTGATGGCAGAAGAGTAGATAAGTCGCCTGCAGGTAACAGTTATAAACCCTGGAAAAATTACAAAACAACTACGAAGACTCTAAAGAACTACTAAAATCACAGAAAACCTGCAGGACAGCCAACCCTGGAAAGAAGGAAACTTCTTATATAGCTTTTCCCTGAAAACATTCCCAGCCCACATGGTATGCTAAGGCTACAACTCAAGCAGAAAGACAAGGTGTTTGTGGCTTTTGGGGGGAGGGAATCTGGGGCCACCAGAGTAGCAAAAATTAATAGAAAAAAAATTCTGAAAAGGAGAACAATGGAGGGGGAGCCCTGGAGCTGGCATGCGAACACCTCCCTCACATCCTCAGTAGACCCTCAACTGCATAGGTGAGACTCCAAGGAATCCAGAGAGGACCAACAGTTGGAAGGCTCAAAGAAATACGTCTTAGCTGCTGCCCCCACAATATGTAGAGCTGCGGGCACACAGCAACTCCGTCCAAGCCTGTGCACAAGTATAGCAAATGTGCCCTGGCTTCTGGCAGCACTGGGCCGTGTCCTAGGATGACCACAGCGTCCCGTTCAAATACCTGCCCGTAAAATCTCAATGCTGTCAGAATTTCCTTTTGTTTTAGCCAACACCTGGCATAGGTTCCAGACCTCCCATTCTTAGAGCATGTACTAAAAAAAGCTGACCTTTGAGTATCATCTCTTACTTTGGAGTCTCTCTAGGACCTGAAAGCCATTCCTTTGAAATGTCGGGATCAGCAGATGGTATAACAGTTACGTGGCTGGACACTCACATGGCTAACAGGGGTTCAAGTCCTGGACCCAGAGGCTCAAAACTCACACCAGGCACGTGTGTATGCATGCCCAAGATCCCAAGGGAAGAATGGAAGAGAATGGACTGCAGAAGGGCCGTCATCCCTGAAGGGTGATTTCTCACTTTCTGTCCTGGCCATCATCCCTCAAGGGTGATTTCTCACTTTCTGTCTCTCCGGCAAGCGCATGTGCCCTATAGCAAAAATCTCTCCCTAAAAAAAAAAAAGAAAGAAAAATGGAAGAAAGAAATGTATCATCCAATAGGAACGGACTCCACCTCCCAGTCTCTATAGGAAGCTATAATAGAATCCTGACTTCCACAACCACAGACACAACCTGCAGACACAGCAGGACTCCTCACGGTCACACTGACCAACTCTTTGTACTTTTGCACTTGAGTCCTGCCCTCCATTCTCCCTTTAAAACACCCAGTCACTGGGCCAACAGGTAGTATAGTGGTTAAGGCGCTGGACTCCCAGATGGCTGAATGTGGTTTAAGTCCTGGACCTGGCGGTTTAAAATCCACATCAGGTGTGTGTATGTGTATACTCAAAATCCCAAGAGGAGAATGGAGGAGAAGGGACTACAGTATTGCCATTCCCCCTGGAGATGATTTCTCACTTTCTCTTTTTCTCTATGTCTCTGGCAAGCACACACGCCTCGTAGCAAAAAATCTCTTAAAAAAAAAAAAATCCAGTCACATCTGCACAAATTGGAATGGAGCTCAGCTCTGTCCTTTACTGTCAGTAATTGCTGAATAAAATTTATTTCACCACCTTAACTAATGTCTGCTTTTATTTATTTATTTGGACACATGCAGTTGCAGGAGACAGAGGGAAAATGAGAAACCATCCCAGAGGAAGAAAGGAACGCTGCAATCTCTTCTCCTCCATTCTTCTTTGGGCATATGCACACACACGGCATGATTTTCTTTTCTTTTTCTTAAAGGATTATTTTCTTTAATTTTATTTATCATTATTATTATTATTTAAGTTTGCAACGGGGGGAACCAGCAGTTAGCGTAATGGCTATGTCGCTGGACTCCCACGTAGTCGACCGCGGTTCGTGTCCCGGACCCAGAGGCTTAAAACTCACGCCGGGTGCGTGTGCGTGCGTGCCCAAGATCCCGAGAGGAGAATGGAGGAGAAGGGATTGCGGCGTGACCATCCCCCCTAGGGGGTGAGTTCTCGCTTTCTGTCTCTATGTCTCTGTCTGTCTGGCGAGTGCACACGCCCTACAGTGAAAATCTCTCCAAAAAAAAAAAAAGTTTGCAACAGGGCATTTGCACTCACCAAAGACAGAGACAGACAGAGAGAGAGAGAACGAAAGAGAGAGGAAATGTGAGAAAGCAAGCCATCAGTCAGGTCCAGGGACTCGAACTGCAGTTGGCCATCTGAGAATCCAGCACCGTAACCACCAAATCACATGCTGACCCCACCTGGGGTGATTTTCAAGCCACCAGGTCCGGGACGCGAATTGTAGTCAGATATGTGGGAATCTAATACCTTACCCACCATGCCACTTGCTGCCCCTGCTCAGTTTATTTTTTTAATTGCCAGAGGACACGTGCTTACCAGAGAGAGAGAAACAGAGACGGAGAGAGAGAGAAAGCATCCCCTAATAGTACATGGTCATGCCGCAATCCTTTCTCCATTACTCTATCCTGCTGGGATTTGGGAGAAGCATGAACATGTGTCCAGCATGCTTTTTTGTATGGGTTTTTTTTTTTTTTTGGAGAGGTTTTTGTTATAGGGTACGTATGCACTCCTCAGACAGAGACAGACAGAGAGAGACAGAGAGACAGAAAATGAAAAACCACCCACCAAGGGGATGGCCACGCCGCAATCCCTTCTTCTTCATTCTCCTCTCAGGATCTTGGGCACACACACACATGCGCCTGGCGTGAGTTTTAAGCCACCGGATCCAGGACTTGAACCATGGTCGACGACATGGGAGTCCAGCGACATAGCCATTACGCTAACTGCTGGTCCTCCAGCATGTGTTTTTAAGCTGCCAGTGCCGCGATTTGAGCTACGGTGGCCATGTGGGATCTGACTCCCTTCATCACTAGGCTGCAGGGGTGGCCCATGCTTTTATCTTTGATATCCATCACAAGAAAATGAAGTTTGGAGTAGAAGTCCTGCCACGGTACAGAAGCTTAGGAAGCACCTCACACTCCACAGAAACTCTGAAGTGCAATGCTTGAGAAGTAGTCTGCATTGCCAGACTAAGAGACTGTGCTCTAGCAAGAAGGGCAACACCAAACAGACACATACAAAGTGTACGCCACGCTTCCCAAACTGCAGACTGACCCGTCAGTGATTAAACTGTAAGCCGATTCAGTATGGCCATAATGCCCGGTGTAACGGACACAATTACTAGAGATGTGACTAAATGAAAATGTGTCCCAGCTGCTGTGATGCTGCAGTAATGCAAGTGTCCTGCAGGGCTGGAAGTCACATGGCCAATCACAAGTTCCGACCCCCAAGATGGCTTGAACATATGCCAGACACACATGCAGGCACCTGGGATCCCAAGGATCCTTCTCTCATCCTTGTGTGCCTGCGGGAACTCTCTAAAGAAAAAATAAAAAATAAAAAAGGACAAGAAATGAAAATGTGAGAGATAACCGAGAAAATATTAGCTGAGGGCCAGCTAGTGGTGTGGTGGTTACAATGGCTAGATCTCACATGGCCTATTACACAGTTCAAGTCCTAGATCTGGTAGTTTGAAAGTATACCAGGTACTGTATGTACATGCATGCCCAGAATCCTGAAAGGAGGGAGAAATGGAAGGGAAGGGATTGCGGCTGTCCCCAAGGGAGGGTGTGTGTTCACTCTCCCCACCCTCCTCTCTCTCTAGAGAGCAGACATGCCCTGTGGCAAATCCATTTTTTAAGTGACCCTAAGATACCCAGATGTCACATGAACAGGCAAGGAGTCAAGAGAAGCTAATAAATACATTCATGAACTTACGGATCAAATTATTGCTATGGTTTGGATGACCCACTCCCCAAATTCTTATGTTGATATTTGATTGTGACAGGATTAAGAGGGTGAAAACTGAATCTAGGGTATTGAAAGGTGGGGCCTTTGGGAGATTAGGATTAAGGTTATCAGGGCAAGTCCCATGATTGACTCCTGCTGTCTTTATG